GTCACGACAAATGACGTGCCGATGATGAACGACAAGGTGCCTAGCTGCTAACTAGCTGACCTTGCTAACGAGTGAGTGACGTGCTTTACTATCAGTTCCTACCTGCCATAGGGCCAAGGCATGTATTTCCAAGTGTAAGGTGACACATGCATGCTGCTGGGGTGTGTGCATGCGTGCGTACGTGTATAGTGTCGTAATACGACCTCTGACAGTCGGGTGTCGGCTTCCGCGAAGCCGGAAAAAGGGCGGGACCCCCGTACAGGCCGGTAACTAGCACGGCACGTGTGACAATTGATGGGTAGTGTCAACGCGGTGGGAGATGTGCTTTGTTGCAGCAGTGCTGATGGTGTGGGAGCTAAGCTTGCAACCAGCGGAATCATCAGCACCGCCTGCAGGTTCCACGCGAATCGCATCTATCCCGGGTGCATGCCGCATGGACAGTGCGGCAGACCGCAAGTCGGAATGCCCATGCCGGAATGCCCATGCGGGCAAATGGTAACGCAAGCTGGGTGAAATTCGGTGCTGTCCCCGAAGCTGTTTATCCCCGAAGCGCCAGCGGCCTCAGCAATCCGCCCCACAGCCGCGAGCTTCATCGCGGCACACCGCAAGTCTCCGGAGGCCCCGTGCATTGGCCAAAGTAAATGTACAAACAAGCAGCTTGTGTATTTCATAGAGAAATGAAAGCAAATTTGTTGGCCTGCTAGTGGCAAGTCGGATTGCCCATGCCGGCAAATGGTAACACAAGCTGGGTGTTCGAGTTATCATACGCCGTCATCTCAGAATTCCATTATGAGATACGCGGCAGCTTTCGGGATGGAATTTAGCGCGAGAGGCGTTGATGTGACTTTTGAGGTCGGTGAATGGAAACAGCTAAGCTTGTTTGTGCAAGACGCCCGGGGGGCCCTGACTCGAAGTGAGCCCCACCCTGGAGTTAGTTGGTACCGCTTTCATGTACTTCCTCAAACAAACTGCTTCTCTAGTACTGTGATGTTTTATTTGTTATATTCATGCAAACTGAACTGAACTTGCAAGGCGCCACCGCAGTTGCCGGTGCCATGAAAGCGCAACCGTCCCGGGACACAGCCTCAGGCCCAGAAATAGACTTATAGGGTTACAGAAAACATAGCTGTAAACGGAAATAAACAAACCATGGAGTTTGTCCTGGACCCGAGCCATCTGCTTGCATCGCGAAAACCACGCGTCGCGCGACGCAATGCTAGTAAAGTTTGCCATCGCCACAAAACAGCAAAGCAAAACACATGTTGGTAAAACAAACAACAACGGGGATAACGGCTCGCCGGTCAACACCCTCGCTCGCGGTTCAGTTTCTAAAAACACAAAGGGGCTAATGTCTCAACACAGCTACCAAACATACACACCGCTATATGACTACTCCACAATAACACAGTAGGAGTGCGCGCGCGCGGCGCCAGCGGGGGCACGCCTGCCGCCCGGGGCCCTGCCGATGACCGGCCCGCGAGGTCCTCCTCCACTGGGTGCATGTCCGCGGCAGAAGCAGTTGTTTCGCCACGCTTCAATCCTTCCATTGCCTTCATCAGGGCAGTCCAAAAGTGGAACGACAGCGCCGGCAGGCATCAGCAGAACGACGTCAGTGGGACCATCAGCACCCTGAATCTCTATGGAGACACCATGCTGTACAAGTATCAACAGCAGATAACAGCACCGGCGCGAGGGCCGGCTACGGTGGCAGCGATGGGGGCAGGAGCTACAACAGTTGTGGCGGCGGCCGCAGCAGCCTCGCCGCTGCCGCGTTACCCGGCCCCGCCAC